TCCTGACGTTTCGCCAGTCTCTGTGGCCGGCATCTTCAGAGGACAGCAACCTGAAAGGTTGTTTGTTGTAGATCCCGGCCCGTGAAAGCCTTCGAGAATACAAAATGAAAGGTTACTTATCTTGTCCTCCTTCTTGTGTGAGGGATCTTCTTCCAACAACCCCTCTGAAAAACCTCCAAGGTTCCGAGTTAAAATAGATGGTAAAAATACAAAAAAACTCCAGAGTTTAGCAATAAGCTATTCTGCAGGTAACAGCTGGAATGCCAAAACAAGATGGGGCAAGATCTTGATACGTACAAATGTCAAAAAATTATCAGGAGTTTTCCTTTTCAGATAAAAGTGAATAAATTAGTCTTCCAGCTCTATGTTATGGCTGAACACAGCTGTTATTGTTGTTTCAGAGTGAGATAAGGCTAAAGCTAATCTCTACGTCCTTCTTCTTCGGCCCGCTGGGAGGCCAACTCCGTAAGATCTTACTGCAACTCCAGAAAAGTTTAAAAGACTTGCCAGAGCCTGGATTAAAAGCTGAAGGTTGGAGCAATTAAGAATTTAAGAAACTTAAACTGTTTGAATGATTTAAAATGGATTAAAACTACTTAAAACAGAAAGCAAAGAGGCACAAACGCTGCTCCTCCCTACAGCCGGAACTGGAACCCCCCCCCCAATCGAGTGAGTTAGGATAAGGTCAAGCCGGTGGATGCACTGTAGAGGACAAGAGGATGGTGTTACTGTAGCTTGAAAACCCTATTAAGGGTCACTAGAAGTCAGCTCTAATGTGACAGCACAGAACAACAATCATAACATACCTTTCTGAGTTTTAAATGATCTCTTGCCCCCCATCAAGAATGCATAACAGCAGAAGAAGCTTGCAGATGCCTAAATATAGACTCGGTGCAGATCAGATCTGCCACATAGAACAGATTCCCAGTCTTTGCTATGAAGGTGTGTAGGATGATTGGTGCCTTGTGCTGAGTTGGCCAAGTGTTGGCTAAGTTAGTCCGCTATTGTCTCCTCTCAATGCCAGGGGCTGTCCCTGAATCTGTAGCCCAGATCTTTCCCAGCTGTGCTACGCAAGTTAGGCATCTTTCAGTCTAGAGAGATGATGGTCACATGCTCTGTATGGAGGTCTTGGAACAGCATCTCATGTGGCTGAGAAGGCCAATTCGAGAGTGACCATCCCTTCCACACTGAAGACAAATCCAATCTGTCCCCTGTCCAGCTCCCCAATTTTGCTGGTTTTGGGACTGCCTCTTTGCCTCGGCCTGCTGGACAAGGGTCTCTTCAAATTGGGAGAGGCCGTGATTCACCGCCTGCCTCCAGGCTGAACGCTCAGAGGTCAAGGCTTCTCATCTGTGGAGGTCTATTCCTAAGGCCTTCAGATCCCGCTTGCAGATGTCCTGGTATCGCAGCTGGGGTCTCCCTCTGGGGCAATTTCCCTGCATTCATTCTCCATACAGGTGATCTATTGGAATCCAACCATCAGCCATTCTCACAACATGGCCAAGCCAACGTAGATGTTGCTGTTTCATTAATGTGTACATGCTAAAAATTCCAGCTCGTTCTCGGACTACTCTATTTGGAACTTTGTCCTGCCAGGTGATACTAAAAATATGTCGGAGACAACACATACAGAACGTGTTCAGCTTCTTCTCCTGCCGTGCACAAAGGGTCCAGGACTCACTCTGCTACACAACATCCTTTCTAAACTGGAGATACCATGGGTTCTGCCTGGGATTTTCAGTGTGCAAACCACTTAATTTTCTTGTTGAATAGAGATGGGCGTGAACCCTTGGCAGTTCGGCATGGTTCATTTCCCGGCTGAACAGCTGATCCATGGCTCAGCACCCTGCCCCCTCCAGCAGGGACTCACTCACTCACTGACATTGCTTCCAAGGGGGTGCCTGCTGGAGGCCATGGGGTGCTGGACCACAGATCAGCTGTTTGGCTGGGAAACAAAGCCGTTCATGCCCATCTCTACTGTTGAGCCATGGCTGCTCCTCAGCGTAGATTGTTTCCTAAACCACCACCACCCCTTAGGATGGCTATCTTGAACTTCAACCACAGCTCTGAAGGCTCTGTATGGGACCAATTATATTCATGAGCTGGCACCCCAGGCTGCCCAAACACCACCTTCGCCAGCGCCAGCCTCTTACCAAAGATAGAGCTGCCCCTCAAGGTATAGCCACCAAAAGTGAAGACGTGGGAATGGTCAGCAGACACGACAGTCAAAGTATCAGATTCGCTGGTCAGCTCCCCGGCCCGCTGGATGGCATCATCAAACTCCACCGCCTCGGTCAGAGCCCATTTGGCAACGCTGCTGTGGTGTCCGTAGTCGATCTTGCCTCGTGGAGAGAAAAGGACAACTTAGACTTTGGAAGGAGAGAGCCCAGGAACCTCACACATCAAGCAAAAAGCACCTCATAGATTTCCTTTGGACTGAGGTTGCAACTAATCAAGGACTTGCCCCTGCTGTTTGGTTGACTCCGGAGACGGGCTGGTTTGCTACTTTTCCCAGTGATCACATCCTGGTTTTCTCTCTCTTTTCCTCTTTCCCTATAAAAGGAGGTGGGCCAAACAGGGTCACCTGAAGTACAGTGTAGTTTCCTGGCCCGAAGCTACCCAATCCTTCCGCGCGGATATGAGGATCACACCAAATGGCCAACTGCAACCTTAAAAAAAACCCTAAGCAATGTGTAGCCTGCAAGGTTAAATAATGAACCACCCAGAGAGTGCTTTCGGCACTGTGGGGAGGCAGCATACTTTCCTTTTTTTAAAAATTGAGCCTAATCAATTCTGCTCCAATTTCACCATCTAACCAAGCCCTGACTCAGTTTCCCATTTATAGTCTCCTCTACTTTTAGTAAGGTAAAGGTTCCCCTTGACAATTTTTGTCCAGTCGTGTTCGACTCTAGGGGGCGGTGCTCATCCCCGTTTCCAAGCCATAGAGCCAGCGTTTGTCCGAAGACAATCTCCCGTGGTCACATGGCCAGTGTGACTTAGACACGGAACGCTGTTACCTTCCCACCGAGGTGGTCCCTATTTATCTACTCGCATTTGCATGCTTTCGAACTGCTAGGTTGGCAGGAGCTGGGACAAGCGACGGGTGCTCACTCCGTCACGTGGATTCGACCTTACGACTGCTGGTCTTCTGACCCTGCAGCACAGGCTTCTGCGGTTTAGCCCGCAGCGCCACCACGTCCCCTGTGCCACCACGTCCCATCCTCTACTTTTACCTCTCCCTATAACTGTACTCCCCAGGGCTCTACCAAATATAATGCCCTTTCTTCTCCCATCGCCTGGAAAAACTCACTGTGATGACTAGGGACTTCTGGGAATTGTAGTTTTAAAAAGGGGCTGTTGGATAGCTCAGTGATTCAAACCTCTGGCTGCACAGCCAGAGGCTGGGAGTTCAATTCTCCACTGGGCCTCCTTTACAGGGGCTGGACTGGATGATCCCATAAGGTCCCTTCCAGCTCCTCAGTTCTAGGATGACGATGATGACTTCTCAAGATTTTACATCTTTCCCCATTTCTTTGCATCTGCCCCCTCTTCCTCAATTGCTCTGACAGCCGCTGGGCTGGGCAGCACATCGCAGAGAAATCAAAATGAAGAGGCAGAAGGAAAACCAACACAGCGTTGGCTGAGGTTTAACCCCAAGGATCGGTGTGTCTCCCCAACTCAACTTATCTTCAACAAAGAGGTAGAACCCCTTGGGGTTACGACTAAGGATTTTGATAGCCACTTCCATCATCTCCACCAAGGATGGGTCGGTGGAGTTGTCACGAAAAAGCTTGTATTTCATCTCCTCAGGTTCAAAGAGGCCTGGTGAAAAGAGAGGGGGGGAGAGAGAAGTTGCAGGCACAAAATCAGAAAGAGTAAGCTTTTCATGTAGCATTTTAGCAACTGGGTGGGCAGGAAACAGAACGGCACAATGGTGCACACAAAATACTTCTGGACAAGTTTGGGTTTTATATGCACGGAGTTTTGGCTTGTTGTTTTGTTTTAATTCACAAGCTAAACATTCACAGACACAATTAAAAACTGGCATTCACTCTTCCACGGAAGGAGGCGGTTCAGAAAGACTTTCATGAATTTCATCTGCCATGAATTTTTGGGACTCTTACCTACCATTTTTCTGCACTGTCCATGAATGGGCACTGCCCAGCCTGAGGAAGTGGGATTTTATCCAAGAAAGCTTGCAAGTTGTCTGATTTTTTTTTAAAAAATGGTTCAATAAAGATACCGCCCTACTCTTGTGATATCTGGCAATGTGTAGCCTGCATAATTAACTTGTAAACCTCCCAGAGAGTGCTTTAAGTGCAATGGGGTGGTATATAAGCAGCACACATTGCTCTATGCTTTTACTCTTGCATTCGTCTTTTCCACGTGATTCTCATCTACAGGGTAAGCTTGTCTTACTTCTGTACTGTAAGTCATCACCACATGCATCATATATGTATAAAGTGATCAACTCATAGATGTAGCAACAGTGGGAGAAGCTCTGCCCATTCTGTCAGAGGTTGTAGGGGTGATATACACTTAAGAGATAAGCAGAGATGCTGGCATGTTTTGAGTCCTGAGTTCTGATCCTCAAGCCCAAGTCGCAGGCGGATGCCACCCCCAACTCCGGGTGGGGGGGGGGAAGAATATGCACAGACAACAGGCCTGGGTGACCTGCAACAAACTCTACCCAGCCACAAGGACCGGTGATCACTACACACAAAAGACCAGCTAACAACACCCATCAATCACAGTGACAGATAATCTCTCCTCCCTTATCACAACAATACACCCACAACAAAAACACACTGATCACCATAATCACCCTCTCTCCTGAAAAAGACAACAGCTGATCCCACAGCCATAAATACTCAACTCCCAAAAAAACTGCACCAGAGCACCAGAGTGCTGCTCCTGAAGATGCTGGCCACAGAGAGTGGCGAAACGTCAGGAAGAACGACCTTCAGAACACAGCCAAAGAGCCCGAAAAACCCACAACAACCAACAATAACCAAAGTCAACACCAAGTCAAGTGACGGGTGCGAATTAAGTCAGACTCGGCAGTGAATTACAGCTCACAAGTCCCCTTCATCCCTGGAGATAAGTGGTAAGTAATATACATCTCCCCCCCGAAGCACCAGGGAGACCCACTGAGATCTCAACGCCTTACCCATCAGGCGGTGCACATCTGGGTCGTTTGCAGCTTTCAACAATTCGGTTCGGTTCCAGACATAACGGTTGCCCTAGGAACAAACCCAAAGACAGGCAAAGTGAGGAGGTGTCTAGCTTTGACATCGCTTTGAAACCCTCTGAATTTTTACCTACCCTAAAAAGGAGGAATAGAGAGTCATGGTATGTTTCATGGGTGTAAGGGATTGCATGCTGCTTAAAATGGAGAGGGAGGCGTACATCTTCTCCATTATTTAGACAAGACGACCCGTTTGGTCACTAGCTGGATAGCTCAGTGAGTTGGACCCCTGACTGCAGAGCAAGGAGTCAGTAATTTGATTCCCCATCATGCCTTATCATGAGGGAAGACCTCAGGACTGTGTAGTCATGAGGCAAACTGCACAGTCCCAGGGCACCCTCAGAAGAAGGGAAGTGGAAACCACTTCTGAATACTCTCTACCTAAATTAGTCTAACTAAAGACTAATTCAATAAAATATTTATCACAGAATCATAGAATGATTGAGATGGAAGGGGGCCTCGAAGGCCATCCAGTCCAACCCCCTGCACAAGGCAGGAATCCAAATCGAAGCAGATCGGAAAGAGGACCGTCCCATTTTCTCTTGAAGGCCTCCAGCATTGGAGTGCTCAGCACCTTCCAAAGTAATGGGTTCCATTGTCGTACTACTCTAACAGTTCAGAAGTTTTTCCTGTTATCCAGCCTAAATCTGGCTTCCTGTCGCTTGAGCCTATTATTACATGTCCTGCACTCTGGGATGATCGAGAAGAGGTCCACACCTCCTCTGTACAAGTGCCTTTCAAGAATTTTAAAAGTGCTATCCTATCTCCCCTCAGTTTTCTTTATTTATTTCCAGAGGGTAGCCATGCTAACAAAGATGAGGGGAAATGACTCTTTTGGATACATCCTTCATAATATTCTACCAACATGGGGTTGAGGTAATTGTGGAGCTGTTATTTTGAAAAAGTAACTTTCTACATCTCTCTGGGTTAATCTCCCTCAGCAAAAGCAAGGAGGTTTTCTGTGCCCCTTAAAAACAAACATCATAGTATGAGCATCCATAGACCATTATCCCATTTTCGGAAAGGATGGGAGCATTACCCCTAATTACAGTCAAACATACCGTGCGGATGGCTGAAGTTCAGGTATGAGGGCAGAGTGAAACAGAATGTAGGAAGTACAGCTAGTGGCCATTATTAAAGCTGGTCATTTATCTGTTGTTGAGAATAACACAATCATCCTGGCGCTGGATCAGCCAAATAATACAAATAAGGCCAGTTGAAACCATCCCCACATATCAAGTCTCAGGTGAGAGATTAAAATCTCCTAAAGAATGGTAAGCGGTCTTCCAACTCTAGTCTCATCAGGATCGCCTTTCCCTAAGAACGCCAGCCCATGCCACCCGATCCACACAGGCCACTATGGCTTGCCACTTCGAGAGAAGCCAGAAAGTCATCCATGAGAACCCAGGCGTTCTCGGTTGTGGCACCATCTAGATTTTTGTCACTCTCTTGCCATTGTTTGGGTTTGTTGCCCTCTATGCATCATTGGTACATGGTGGTGCTGCGGGTTAAACCGCAGAAGCCTTTGTGCTGCAAGGTCAGAAGACCAGCCATCGTAAGATCGAATCCACGTGATGGAGGGAGCTCCCGTCGCTTGTCCCAGCTCCTGCCAACCTAGCCATTCGAAAGCATATAAAAATGCGAGTAGATGAATAGGTACCACCACGGTCGGAAGGTCACGGCGTTCCGTGTCTAGTCGCGCTGGCCACATGACCACGGAAACTGTCTTTGGACAAACGCTGGCTCTACGGCTTGGAGATGGGGATGAGCACCGCCCCCTAGATTCGGACACGATTGGACTAAATGTCAAGGGGAACCTTTACCTTTACCTTTGCATCATTGAATTGTTTTCTCTTGATTTATTTGATTATCTAGTTTTACCCGAGGATTTGATGTCTTATACTGTATTTTGTCATTGATTGTTTCCTTGGATGTAAACTGCCCAGCACTAACTGGGGTAGTGAACAAGTTTATGAAATGAATGAATAAATGTTCTCTTTTGGCCTTCTTTGTTTCCTCCATCATGACTACTTGGAAATCACTGAGCAGTGGCACAACAGAGATGTTTTTAATGTTTCCAGAAATGGGGAATCAACCATTGGTTTATTTTATCTATTTGTTTTATTTATAGGCCGCCTTTCTCCCAATAAAGGGACCCAAGGCGGCTTAAAATATTGAAAGAATAAAATTAAAAATGTAATAAGCTAAACATTAAAAAAATGCTAAAAAAAGTAATAAGCTAAACATTAAACTGTATGCTAATTAAAATACAATTGAATCATAGTGAGTAAACATTAAAAATGATCTTAACTCTTTAAAAGGCATTCCAGGATTAAATCGTGATTGTTAAAAAGTCTGCCTGAAAAGATGCGTCTTAAGCTGTTGGTGGAAAGATAAAAGGGAGAAAGGGGCCAGCCTGATCTTCCAAGGGAGGGCATCCCATAAACTGGGAGCTGCCACCGAGAAGGCCCTGTCTCTCGTGTCCCCATCAGCTGTTCCTTTGCTGGCAATGGGACTGAGAGGAAGGCCTCCTCTGATGATCTTAAGCACTACTCTCGGTTGGTTGGTTGGTTTCTTCATCCCAGCTCTACCTGGCAAAGCCTCATCTGAATGTCTACAGCCTCCCCATCCCATTCCATCTCAGGGAGTCCAGTTCTTTCCAGTTTCAAGAGAAGGGCTGTCTCTGAATACCAGTTTCTGGGAAACCCAAGAAAAAAGGGGGGGCTGTGGTACTAGAGGGCTTCTGCTGGTGGACATCTCAGTAGGGCATCTGCTTGGCCACTGAGCAAAGAGAATGTCAGACTAGGTGGAGCCTTAAGAAGACAGTTTCAGGTGTCTTCTTAATTTTCAAAATGTAAACACTCCATTGTCTTACTTTTTCTTGGCTTGTCCCTTTTACTTTGCTTGCTCCCCACTCAGATGAAAAGTTGCAGAGAACTGTAAAGCTTGCATTCTTTTGTAACCTTTGAGTTGGCCTAGCAAAAGCGTCATTAGCTGAACATGCAATGCAACAGCCACTCTTGGGCTAAATCTTATAACTAAGACAAGTTATCCATCAAGTCATCTCCCACCTCATGGTGACCCTATGAGTAAACGCTCTCCAGAATGATCTCCCACCTCATGGTGACCCTATGAGTACACGCCCTCCAGAATGTCCTGTCTTTATCTGCCCTGCTCAGCTCTTGAAGACTCAAGTCTGTATTCCATTGGCATTCCTTCTACCCCTGGTAATTTATTACTTCCTAATGCTTTCACAGCAGCTTTCACATCACTTTCTAGAACTGCTAGTTCTTTATCATAGGCTTCCTCTTCAAAGGAGTCTGCCTTCCTTTTGTCCCTTCTATATAGCTCTTCAATATACTGTTTCCACCTTCTCTTTATTTTCTCCTGATCAGATAACGGTGTTTCCTTGTTGGTCATCCAGCATTCCTAGTCTAGGTTTAAATTTCCTTTAATTACCTAACTAGAAGTGAGGTCTAGCTACAGGCTTTCTTCATTCATTGGCATCATTTATGGGCTTTGCAGAATAAAATGTGCCATTTGGATTACCTTAGGGCAGAAGGTAACGTGTCTTTAAGTGTTTATTACACATAATTCCGGAGAAGAAATCTGTATGTATTACACCTGATGATTACTATACATACACATAATTCCGGAGAAGAAATCTGTATATATTACACCTGATGATTACCACACACCCTGTCGTTCCACAAAGCCAACAATTCAAAATGCAAATGCATCTCAACACCAAGAAGCGTACCTGAGATGAGTTAAGCCAAATGTTTATGAGGTTCCTGTTATCCAGGCGGACACCATTTTCTGAGGCATTGTGGGGATATTCGGGATCTGGAGTGCCAGCTGGGGTCATGAACTTCCTACCGCCCCCCAACATCACCTGCCAAGGGAAAGTAACATCTTAGATGCACACACAAGGACAAACCAAGCAAGCTAAATCTGGCTGGCTGGACATGGAATTTGCACCCGTGACTTTGCAGGGAAAGACTGAAATAGAACAACAAGAGGAAGAAGAAGAATGACAGGGCAACGCAGCAGAGAAAGGGGTACTATAGGTGGGAGAAGTTTCAGGGGATTAGGGAGTTGGCTACCAATGGATGTCGGGGAGACTTAGATCTACTCCTGAACCTTAACAAGAGAACAAAGTGCAGAAACTTAGTGCTGGTGTTTGCAGAATGATAGAGTCATGGAGTTGGAAGGGGCTTATAAGGCCATGGAGTCCAACCCCCTGCTCAAGGCAGGAATCCAAATCCAAGCAGAACTCTGTCAGAGGGTGGTCCAGTTTTCTCTTGAATGCCTCCAGCCTCGGAAGGCTCACCACCTCCCAAGGTAATGGGTTCCATTGTTGTACTGCTCGACCGGTTAAGAAGTTTTTCCTGATATTATGTGAGCCCATTGTTAACGTGCTCTGCACCCTGGGATGACCGAGACCAGATCCTGCCCCTCCTCCGTATGATGACCTACTTCCAAGTATTTGAAAAGCGCTATCACCTCTCGCTTCATGCCTCGTTTTTTTCAATATTTCCTCATAAAGCTTGCTGTGGCGTTCGCCCTCGTGGCCCCTGTTGGTCTCACTAAACGCAGAGCTCACAAAGGCAAATCAAAAACACCTCTCGACACATGCTGCCAACCAGTTGACCTCCTTATCAATGTACTTTACTTAGAAAAGATGAAGGTCCATTCAGTAATGACTTTTTAATAGAATAGTTGGTTCTATTATTGATTGCAGTTGGTTTCTGGAACAATTCATAAGCACTATCTTCAAGTTTCATCTAGCTTCAATATTAATATGGTTATTATCACAATTTACACACAGACTAATTACTCCTCAGACCCCAAACTATCCTTCGCTCCCTGATTCCTAGCACAGACTCTGACCGACCCACTCTCCTGTCAGGCTCCGCCTTTTAACATCCCTTTCGGCCCCACCTCTTAACCTTGCGTAACAAGAGAGAACGTTACACTTGGTTTCCAGGGTTGGGTGTCAGAACTCTGCATCTCTTGGAAAGAGTTTATTTGAAGGACTACCTGCAAGCTCTAAGTTGAGAGCAGCTCATGAACAGAGGCCCCCTCCCTTGAAATTCTTGAGGTGAGATGCCTTCCCATCATGGTCACACACTACCCCTGCTCCAAATTCAGCATCTGAAGAGATTTCTGTTTTCTGGCATGTCATTAGATAGATAAGCCAATTAATTTTTGTCATTCACTTTCCCTTGCTCTTGTTTAATGAGTCCTTTTTGTTCCGAACGCAAATCATTTTAATGGGTTAATTAAATCCCTGTAGCCTGCAATACCATTTTCAGTCACTAGATGGCAGACATGCCCAACTAAGAAAGAAAAAAATAGTAGATCACTGTGATATACAGTGGTGCCTCACTTTACAATTGCCCTGCATTACGCCGAATCTGCTTAACGATGATCTTTTTGCAATCGCAATTGCGATTGCAAAATGATGGTCTGAATGGGGGAATTTCACTTTGCGATGATCGGTTCCCTGCTTCGGGAACTGATTCTTCACAAAATGACGTTTTTCGAACAGCTGATCGGTGGTTTCAAAATTGCCACTGGGTGATTAAAATGGCTCCCCGCTGTCTTTAGGGACTGATTCCTCACTGTACAGGCAGTGAAAATGGCCGCCATATGGAGGATCTTCACTGGACGGTGAGTTTTTACCCCATTGGAATGCATTGAACAGGTTTCAATGTGTTTCAATGGGGTTTTCCCCCCCTGCTTTACGATGTTTTCGCTTAACGGCGATTTTCCTGGAATGGATTATCGTCGTTAAGCGAAGCACCACTGTATACTCATTTCTCTAGAAGGCCTCTCTGCAACTCCACATGGACTAGAGGCATGAAAAGAGAATGGGTATGCCAAACAAACTTCCCGGCACAAATGCTATCTCTCTTGCTGGCTATTAGAGAGGAATAAGGAGAGGAAAAGACTGAATGAGCACAGGAGTAGAAGCAAAGGAAGACCAAGAAGAAAGAAAATGAGTATAGAATGAACAGAAGAGAAAGGTCAGAAGGAAAGAGAGGGTGAGCTCGTGTGGGGGTCTGGGCAGAAAACATATGCATGCTTACTGGGGAACCCTAGAAGCTGGAACTCCCCAAAATAACTTTGTACAGATTGTTTAAGGGACAATGCCATAAAACTGAAAGAAATCCTCTGTCAAAATTCCTCTGAAATGTGCATGCACACAAATGTACACACACACACCCTTTTCTCCAAGTAACTAGAACAAGTTTTTACATTGTTTCCACTCCCTGCATTACTTTTGGAATGTAACTTCATGATACCCCTCATTACTTCCAAAAGGAACTTGTTACAAGTAACTGCATTGGCTTAATTTGTCCCTTCTAATCTCTGGGATGTATACACTCTGCCTTGGGAAGGAATTTCTAAGGCAGATAGTAAGGAAATGTTTGCCTCTCTCAGCCAAGTTTGGGGACCCAGGTGAAAAAAAAGAGTGTCAGATGAAATGATAGAGAAAATTTGAAGGGTTAAAATTGCTCTGACACCAGGAATTTTCTTATTGAATATATTACCAGCTACACTTTAAAAAAAAAGAAGACTTACTTGACCTTACACCTGATAACTGCAGCTAGAATTGTACATATATGCCAGTAAGTGGAAGACTACAGAGGTGCCGACCAAGAAGGAATTTATTGAGAAGATTTTGGAAGGAGCAGAAATGGATATTTTGACAGATACACTAAATGATAGACTGGAGAATAATAAATGGGAACCTCTTTAGACCTGGATGAAATCTATGCCGATTTAAGTAGAACAGATTAGATTAATATTATGTTAGAGAGTATAAGACAAGATGAAATGCATGGAACATATTGTAATAAATCACTCTTGTTGCATTGGATAGAAAAGTAAAAAAATACAATAAAATATTTATTAAAAAAGAAAAGGGTGCCTGGAAAGGGGGACAGGAATGCTGTCTGAGGAGGCGTGTGTGTGTGTGTGTGTGTGTGTGTGTGTGTGTGTGTCCAACCTACTGTGATGTCGACGTTTTCGATGAGTTGTTGGGAGATGTCCTTGCAGCCTTCTGCGATGGCTGACGCCGGCATTTCGGAGTCTGCGTACCAGTTGCGGCTCACCACGTGCGCGTACGTCCCGGCCGGAGAAGCGTGCTGGACAGGAGTGGTGGTCACGATCCCCACGGAGCGGCCTGCAACGAAGGGAGAGCGTTGGCGTGAGGAACTGTCAGAGCGGAAACGTACAGACAGAACTTTGGGATTCAACGGGTAGTGAGATGGCGGCTTTCATCCCCCACCCAAAAGACAGGGCAAAAAGAAGAGCCCGTTTTGAATGAAATGGCACACGGGAATCGATAACCTACAGAGAGCTCTATCAAAAAAAAAAAAACCCTGAGGGTGAGATGTACAGATACAAAAGGAGAAATGATGATTCCCTAAAAAAAGTTCTTGTGTGAAATTGGGTGGAAGGAATCAAGTTAAATAAATTGCCGGCAGACCTTTGCAGAGACCCTTTCTTTGGGGCTTAAGGATAGAGCTCCGTGCCTCTTGTGCACCTGGGATGGTGGAGTTACAGATCTGAGCCCCCAAAGACCTTTTAATGAACCCTAATTCCACATCTCAAACCCTCTGCAACCACATCATCGTGTGCTGCCCCCTGGTGGCCTGGTGCTGTAACCACCAAAGAGAACAGAACTTTTTAAATGACCTACCCCATATGATTGCTAATCCCCATCTGCTTGTCCAGAGACATAGGTCAAGGTCAAGGTTCCCCTTGACATTTAGTCCAGTTGTGTCTGACTCTAGGGAGCGGTGCTCATCCCCGTCTCCAAGCCCTAGAGCCAGCGTTTGTCCGAAGACAGTTTCCGTGGTCACGTGGCCAACGCGACTAGACACAGAACACCGTGACCTTCCCACTGAGGTGGCACCTATTTATCTACTCGCATTTTTACATGCTTTCGAACGGCTAGGTTGGCAGGAACTGGGACAAGCGACGGGAGCTCCCTCCCTCACGTGGATTCGATCTTACGACGGCTGACCTTCCGACCTTGCAGCACAGAGGCTTCTGCGGTTTAACCCGCAGCGCCACCACGTCCCATGTCCAGAGACATATTGGGTATGTAAAAAGATACTTTTAAAAAGACGACTACAGTACTTCCAGAATACTCCCAGAATTGTGGCCAGGCTGGCAAAGGCATGTTGGCAGTTGTGCTCTCCCCTGATTTCCTGTTTCTTCTTTTAAACGTCACAGGTGCTTATCCTGTGGCGTTTGTAGGAGGGTTGGCTCAGATTCCTGGATTTGGCTCTCTCTGCCAACATCAAGGGCTTGAATTTGGGGTGGGGGGGGAGCCTTCAAAAAGTTCCCAGACTTCCCTGGGAATTGTAGTTTTAAAAGTGTATCTTTTCTACGTCTCATGGAAATTAGAACTGGCAGGTATCCGGGTGGGTTCAGCTGGAGTCTGAGGGACGTGTGATGCTTCCAGGCTGGGAAGCAAATCTCAGAGTGAGCAGCACCAGGAGAGAAGATTCGTATTTTTTTAAACCTGTATGTCACACAGCCAAAAAACCTGGCAGACCTTTCTCCACCCATTTGCAGCTGGCACCAACAATTGTCCTTAAAACTCAAGGAACGAGGTGCTGCTAATCTGGCATCCCACAAGAACTATGCAGAAGTCCTGAAGGGCAGGAAATGCGGTTACTTTCTCAGGACCAGATATCTGCCAGGCCATGACTTGTGTCCATGTTCCACCCGTCTTTCTTTGGCATATATTTTATATTGCAACCTCGCAGGCTGCCTTTAGTAAGTTTGGCTGAGAGTGACCTTTCTAGGGCAGCGCAACTGTCAATCTATCCAGCAGTAACCAATGGTTCCCTCCTGCCTCTGAATGGAAGCAGAGCCCCACCTCTCTGCTCAAGTGTTTTTCTCCCCCTTTGTTGTCTGTTGGCAATCAGTTGACTTGTGTCCATGTTCCACCCGTCTTTCTTTGGCATATATTTTATATTGCAACCTCGCAGGCTGCCTTTAGTAAGTTTGGCTGAGAGTGACCTTTCTAGGGCAGCGCAACTGTCAATCTATCCAGCAGTAACCAATGGTTCCCTCCTGCCTCTGAATGGAAACAGAGCCCCGCCTCTCTGCTCAAGTGTTTTTCTCCCCCTTTGTTGTCTGTTGGCAAACCGCGAGCCTGTTGAAGTTTGTTGTTGAAAGCAGCCACGTTTGTCAACAGTTTGCTGTTGATATGTAAGTAAAGAAAAATGGTTTTTATTCTTTCTACTACTGCTTCCTCAGAGTGAGTGGTTGCGATTGTCAATGCCAGTTAAAGAGAAAAGGGGGTGGGACTAATCTGGGGGACTTGAAGATATTCGGTGAGTCCCTGCAGGTGTGCTGCACCGCTAGGGGGATTTAACCAGCAATTCAAAACATCTTGACCCCCTTACCAGCCAGCTGGGCTCTCTTCAGCACAGAGGTGACTTCATTGCCTGCTGTCGTAGCGCACTCGTTATACCGGGCCGCAGCGCTGAGCCCGATCGTTTTGTAGTTGCCCTTCACCCCGCAGAGGTAGGCGGTGGCAGTCCCGGCACTGTCCGGCACCTGTCGGTCCACATTGTACGTCTGCCGAAACAAAGGAGACATGTGCCAAAGGGCTCTTTTCTAAAGACGCTCAATTTCTCGTCCTCACAGTGAGATCAAGACAGACGTTGCACTTTATGCACAGGGGACGTGACGCCCTCTAAACGTTTAGACTGTGTCTCCCAGAAGCCCTCCCCTCTGGGCATGTTAACTTTGGAGCACAACTTCAAGAATTCACCTGTTGTTGTGGCCACTGTGGTCAACACAAATAAAGGTCCAGAGGCCCTCCTGTGGGTCCCATTGCTAGCACAAGTACGCTTGATGGGGACACGAGAGACAGGGCCTTTTCGGTGGCAGCTCCTGGGCTATGGGATGCCCTCCCTCGGGAGACCAGGCTGGTCCCCCTTCCTTTCCATCTTCTGTCGATAGCTGAAGACCCGCCTTTTCAGGCTGACTTTTAACACTCATGACTGAGTCTCTGAATGCCTTCTTAGAACTCAGATACTTCTAAATGTTGACTTGCTTTTTCATTATTCAATGATCTTTTAATTAGTGTATACAGTAGTTTAGTTGGCTTTTAATGCTGAACGTACTATGCTTTTAATGCTATCCTTTTTCATAGTGTGAGCTGCCTCGGGTCCCCTTCTCAGGAGAAAGGTGGCCGATAAATAAAGCAAGCAAACCAATAGGTGAATGTTCCTGAGGGCTTCAGGACCCCAGGGATGGGAATTCAGATGCTACCTTGGAAAGAGCCAGGTAAGGGAAAGCGTCCATGGCCAGTGGTGTCTCTGGACCCAGGTGGTCGTGCATCTGTCCCTTCAGGATGCGTGTGGCCGTAATGGTAGGAATGCCCATGCCTGCCAGAGAGACAGATCCTGTGTTAGGAAGTCTGTATGACTCTGCAGCCCCCCAGGATGTGCACTGCAGCCTCGCCCCCCCACACAGAGAGAGAGAGAGGGAGAGAGGGAGGGAGGGAGGGAGGGAGAGAAGCTGGGGATGACAGAACCCAACATCTACCCAGTTTCCCTGAAAATAAGCCCTACCCCAAAAATAAGCCCCAGTGGCGGTCCCTCTATCCAGCGCTAATCAAATATTCCCTCCTGCCTCTGAATTCAAAGAGAGCCCTTCCTCTCTGCTCAGTGCTTCCCCCCCCTCTCTGAAGTCTGCTTCCGAAAGCAGACGTGTTTCCTAGTTTGCCACTGGATCTGTTCAATTGTAAGTAATGATATGTTTTTATTCTTCCTCTTACTAGGCGAGGTATTGAGACTGTAAGTTCCAGGGAATGAGAAAAAGGGGTGGACTTATCTGGTGAGGTGGAAGCTATTCTGCTGTGTGGATCCCCGGCCCTTCTGTTATGCAGCTAGAGATTTTTTAAAAAACCAGAAATTGAAAACTCTGCAACCGTTCCCATCGCGTGCCATTCTTTGCACTGTTTTGCAACATCTGGAACTTGTAACGCTGTCAGTTAGGACTCTGAGCAAGTCACACCCGTTGGGAAATCTAGGAGTCCCACTGTAGCTGGACAGGGACCGAGATTTGAAACCAGGCTCTGCTCTGTTTTGATGATTCATCCTTTGAGCTCCTTCAGATAGCCCATTCCTGACACACGGCAATAATCTGAATTGCTCCCTGGTGATAATCAAACACACCCAAGAAATTCCAGTGTGAATGGCAGGGTGGAGGCGCTGGGAAAAAAAAGTGAACTTTGGGTTGACGGTTGGAAGGAAAAAGATGAGGAGGAGGAGCTTCGCTGGCCGACGAAGAAGGGCCTCCTGACTCTGCATTGGTTTAACAACAGAACTCATGTGCCTTGTTTCTGAATGCCTTCCAGAACTTTTGAGTCCATCGTCCCTTGCCAGCCCAGTCAATGGTGAGGGATGATAGATGTTGTGGTTTGAAAAAAGATGTCCACAAGGTCACACATCCCTCCCTTTCCATATTGTACACCTGGGAGTTTGGAAGAAACAAGTTACAAATAATTTGTGACTTGTAACTATTTTTCTTTTTGGAATAAAAATGTATAAGTGAAGGCAGTAACTTGACAGGGAATAGCTTTGCTCTTTTTGTACTGTGAATGCAGCCTCATGAAGTTACTGGTTCTGGCATCAGTCAAGGAAGGAGGAGAGCTACCATAGGTTATGTGCCTCATACACGGATGGGGATGTTGAGATAACAGTGAAGTAGACAAGAAGAAGGTATGTTTTGCAGCTTTTATCATTTACAGTAGTTATTTTTAAAAAGAAACCAAAGCAATCTAGTTACTTTTGAGAAAGAGACTGTAAAGAGTTACTTTTAAAATGCACCAATAGCAGCAATGATTTTTTTTTTTTGTGGTGCCTTGGAACTGTAACCAGTTAATTATTTTTGCAAAGTAACTTGCCACACAGTGGGAGTCACACACACACTACATCATGGAAATCCTGGTTAGTAAGTTTGGCAGAAGCAGATACAGTGAACTCTTCCTTTGACACTTACCGTCTCCCAAAAAAAGGATGAGATTCTTAGCTCGGTGGTGCCGTGGCGAGAGAGTCAGGGCACCTTGGATGGCTTTGGATGCCTGCTGGTTCCAGAATGCTGGCTTCTCCTCTTCAGCTTAAAGGATAGAAAAGAGACAGGAATTAAGATGAGCAGACATTCAAGCCAACAGAGTCACACAGCTGCAAAAAAGGCGAATGCTATTTTAGGGCACAGATTACCCCCCCCCCCCANAAATCCTGCCATTCTCCTGCCGCTGCAGCTTCCTGACATTACCTGGGATGACGGCACCGGCCAAAGCCAGCCCCAAACAGAAGACCAGTCCTAGGAACTTCATCTCTGCTAGGATGATAGCCATGTTCCAGGATGCGCTCAAGAAGAATTGCGACGCCTGGCAACGGACTTATAAGACACAATTTCAAGAGACCTTTGGACATTCAGATAGCTGCGCACTATCCTTGGCAATTGTTTCTTTTCCCTCCAGTTCGTATAAGTATTTGTAGATTTATAACTGTTGGTACCAGGAAGTGCACACAGAACGGTGAATAAGCACAGCTTCACGGCTTTAGGACGTGGGGCAAACACCAGAGTACACCGGATTGTAACACTAGACATCTTGCAAGTTAACTACACAAGTGACAGTGTTGTTACATGCCGTGAAGTTATTTCTACCTTCTGACTTCCGTAATAGGTACGTGAGATATTTAACGTATAACTTTACTAGTGCCACTCCCCGCCGGTACGTTTTCATGGCCAAGCGGGGATTTGAACCCAGATCCTCTGAGTTGCAGCCTAACACACTGTCTTTTACACACCACAAACACATTGGCTCCGTGGGTGGAATGCTGCAACAAAATGTCATCGGATGGAGTGCTAGTGTTCAGGGTTTCAGCTAGCCAAACACGGCCCTTTATAGGATACGGTTTTCTGCACCACCTTCCAGGTGAAGTCCGGTTGCCATGTGAGCTGGGCAAACAAAATCTTTTGCCTGAATTTTGTGGGGCAAAACTCATGCTAGTTGCAAGATCCTAGTCCTCACTTTCCAAGCCCAACATGTCTACCTAGAAAATAAAGTGTTAATACTAACTCTTAAGGCCCTTAATGGTTTGGGACCTCTCTACCTGTTCAAGTACCTCTCCTTAAACTCACCTACCAAGCCCAACATGTCTACCTAGAAAATAATAATTCAAAGTGTTAATACTAACTCATAAGGCCCTTAATGGTTTGGGATCTCTCTACCTGGGGAACCTTTACCTTTACCTTTACCTACTTGTTCAAGCACCTCTCCTTAAACTCACCTGCGTGGGTCACCTGTTCTTCCCAGGCTTCATGGTGGCAGGTAGCCTTTTCAAGCGAGGCCCAGCAAATATCTACCAGTAACAGGGTCTTTTTGGTGGTGGTCACGATGCTGTGGAATGTGTTGGCAGTGACTCCCTCCTTCTTGACCTTCAGGAAACAGGTGAAAACGAGCTTTTTAAGGAGCCCTTTAAGAACATCCTTCCCCCTCCATGACATTCTCATTGACCCATTAAATTTAAATTTTGTTTGCCATCGCCTCTGCTGGGTTTGTCCGGTCTGTATTATTTGTGTGTTTTGGCCATTGTGACGGACAGGTCAGGAACCACTCCTGTCCATCACAATGGAACCCTGATTCAGGAGCCAATGGCTGTACAGAAGAGGAGGGACTAAGAAAATATAAGAAGAATGGATGGCAGTTAGAGAGAGGATTGCAGTTAGAGTTAGGGATGAGTTAGGAATATGAGTTGGAGAAAAGCAGTTTAAGCAGTTAGGACCAGTCGTGTTAGAGAAGAATAGGGAGATAAGGAACAAGATAAGAAATGAATAAATACCTTGAGTAACATGATTATACATAAGCAAACATAAATGTTACCAAAGCACAGTTGATTGAATAAATGAAATAAGACCATCCATGATTTACTTATGAACACTTTAATAAACATTGTTTTATTGAATAACACTGATTGAAGAGTTATATTTGATATAGTGAGGAGAAATCCTCTGGCAGCGGAAAAGGGAGAAAAATTTTTTTGTCACTCCCAAAAGTGAACCTGGGTTGTGTGGAAAAACGAACAGGGGAATGGGTGCATGACAGCCATCATCTGCACTCATAAGCCATCAAGTGTGTGTGCTCGCACTCCCCCTGTAGTGACCTCCCTCTGGACCCATGCCAGTGGCAGAACCTTGGAAATGAAGAGGTTGCAGTTCAACAGACATTTAAAGCGAAGACGGTGATAGATAGGGGGTTCTGATATAACATATACAAAGTACTGGCTTTAAAATTTAAGATAACACATGCTATTTGATTCACATGTACTTACACAAGTAATTATACATTGTACCTGTAACTGAAATATGATTTCACTATTTCCTTACTATAATGATATTCTATATGCATTTTTTGTATCTGTACCTTATACGCATTTTGTATAGTCAATGCATTTTTGTATCCTCATTTCATCTGAAAGTAACTGTCTCTTCCCGCTTGGCGCTCACAGAAACATTCCCAAGGCCAACTCAGAATAACATTCACAGCGCTTCAGGCGACAGGCGACTGTAACATGTTTCTAACTACACAATGGTTCACTCAAATTCACAAACTTGGCAGCCACTAACTCTGGGATGCAATTTAGATATTTTTCTCACATCTCTGTGTGTGTTTAGTCGTTTAGTCGTGTCCGACTCTTCGTGACCCCATGGACCAGAGCACGCCAGGCCCTCCTGTCTTCTACTGCCTCCCGGAGTTGTGTCAGGTTCATGTTGGTTTCTCACATCTACCACAGCCAATAGGATGACCCTGGGGGCTCGTCCATAGAGTTCAGAAGACCAATAAGGGGATGCTATGCTTTATTGTCCTTTGCATAAAATGCTGTACCACATGCATGATGGGACTCCGATCCGCCTTTAGGACGGGGTCCAGTTCTATGTTTAATAAATTGGCTTACATAGACTGAATATGCACTGTCTTTTATCTGTTATTCCCTGCCGGAGAATTGAAACCTAAAATTGGGTGCTAACAACGGTTTCATTGTTTATTTGCTCAAGCTGGGGGTGGCGGCGAGAGAAAGGCAGGTAACGATCACACACATAAATAGAGTCATACATGGAAGCTAGGCAATGCTGGTTTTATATATACAGTATATTAAAAAAAAACACAGAGTGAGCAGTCTCTTTGGCAGAGCAGGGAGAAGTTCCGTTTTCGGACCACCACTCCCAGAATCCTCAGCAGCTTGAGTTCTGACAATCGGTCGACCCCTTTGGGAATGTCCAGCATCCGTCTTGCAGACTCACCGGCGGTGTTGGGAAAAGACAGTTTGAAAATGAAATGTTCTTTTATATCTAGGCAGGTGGGCAGAGACGTGAGCGTCTCAGTCATGTGAACAGCAACAAAAGGCCCATCCAGAGCACCAAGAGAGAGGCCAGGCAGTGTCGAGAGCGGCTGGCACGTGACCTGTCGCTGCCAAATGCGAGACATTCCGGTTCTGCGTCGTAGGGCTTAATGCAGCCTGCATAGGCCATGACGTGGGCGATGTAGTTCTGTTCCTGGATGCCGTGGAAGAGATGGGCCATGGGTCCCTGGGCCATGATGGCAACGTCCTCTCCACCGTGGGTCTCCAAGCTGAGAGGCACTGCTGCCTGCTGCTGGTATTCCTTGTCATCTAGAGAGAGAAGATGCAGAGGGTAAGCGCCAGCACAAGCAAGCCAAGAAGAACGTTGGCATCTGGGAGTACTGTCAGCAAGGACGTAAAGAAATTTCGTCTCTTTAGCTGCTTCATAGGGTCAAATTTACCATGCTCTACCATGCCATACTAAACAGGTTGTGCAGGGTTTGGAAAACCCTGCAGAACCTGTTTGATCCGAGGTCGCTGTGGAATCACTATATATACCAAACATCTTCAAAGTGGAGTGGGGAGGGCGAAATGGACACATGTCGACACCAAAATAACCACATGATCAGCCTGATGTTAACCCCAGGGAAAGTTCTGGAACTAATTATAAAACAGTCACTAGGCAAGCACTTGGAAAACTAGGCAGTAATAACTAGAAGCCAGCACAGATTTGTCAAGAACAAATCCTGCCAAAGTAATCTGATCTCAATTTTTGTTCAGGTAACCTCCCCGTAGATCACGGTGTGGTGTGGCTAGAAAATAGGCAAATGCTATTTTAGGATTCATTAATAGAAGTAGAGCTGTGGTGTGGCTAGAAAATAGGCAAATGCTGTTTTAGGATTCGTTAATAGAAGTAGAGCTTCCAAATCCTGCGAGGTGCTGGTCCCCCTCTATTCTGCAATGGTTAGGCCTCACCTTGAGTACTGTGTCCCGTTCTGGACACAACACTTCAAGAAGGATGCTGACAAATTGGAACAAGTTCAGAGGAGGGCGACAAGGATGATCAGGGGGATGGAAATCAAGCCTTATGAGGAAAGGCTGAATGAACTGGGAATGTTTAGCCTTGAGAAAAGAAGTCTGAGGGGAGAGAGGAGAGCACTCTTCTAATATTTGAAAGGCTGTCCTACAGAGGAGGTGCAGGATCTGTTCTCGATCCTCACAGAGTGCAGGACACACAACCATGGGCTCAAGTTAAAGGAAACCAGATTTCGGCTGAATATCAGGAAAAACTTCCTAACTGTTAGAGCAGTACGACAACAGAACCCATGACCTCAAGAGCGCTCCTACACTGGAGGCATGCAAGAGAAATTTAGACAACCCCCTGGCAGATATCCTTTGATTTGGATTCCTGCCTCAAGCAGGGGGCTGGACTTGATGACCTTACAGACCCCTTCCAACTTCATTATTCTGTGATTCTATGATTACCACAAAGAGGCAGTTTCCAATGAGATCAGGAAAGGAGAAAGCTCTCACCAAAAGCCACAGAACCGGCATCTGGGCGGCTGCCGTTCTTCAGAGTATAGCCAGGTCCGTTCCCGTAGAGGATGCTGGTGTATGATCGTTTGTCCATGGCCCTTTTGGGTGCCAAGCCTGTAAATACACAAACACACAGTGGTTTGCCAAAGGAGCATCAAAACCTGGCACCAAAGGACAATGTTATAGAGCACTGGTTCCCAAGCACGGGTCTCCCAGATGTTCTTGGACTGCAACTCCCAGAAGCCTTCCCCACTATTGGTGCTGGTTAGGGTTCCTGGGAATTGTAGTCCATGAACACCAGAAGGTCCCAAGGCTGGGAATTCATAAAGTTGGGAGCAGGCAAAAGTTGGGAGCAAAGAGTTATTTCCCCCCGAATCTGCACCACTGCCACCAGACACACAGAAACACTGGGGGATACCCCGTTCCGTTCATGCGGGGTTGGAACAGTGGGCGTTACAACGCAAAACATCTGGAAAGCAACTGACCGGGCAAGGCTGTGTATTTGCCAGCCCCCTTTTAAGCCTTATTCCACTCTCAAGATCTCCAGAGTTGTTAGCCTGTAACAAATGGGAGTTCTTGTCCATCTGCTGGGAGTTATAGTCCAGTGTAACTAAAAATCATCAGGCTGGTGCATACCACCTCAACAGGATAGGCTTCTGTGTCGAAAGATATGGAAGGTGGCATGGTACTCTGGTTGCATGGGGGAAACAGTTGAAAAAATGCTTCAGAGATGGATACAGGAAGTGAGTTGTTGATGGCACACATACTGGCCAATGTGGTCTTTCTACAGACAAACCTTCCTAGCTGACAGTGGCAGGGTTGGAGAAGGGCAGAGTTTGTTCTGAAGCACAGGAAAAGATGCTCAGTCCCAGGCTGCCCCTTTTCCGTTTCTATAAAATGGTTCTCTCTCAGGGAACATACAAAAAAGGAATTTCCTCAATGAACATCTGTACAAAATAAGGAAAATATTAAAACAAGGTCTGTCTTATTGCAATCGGGAGCTAAATGCCGTGGGGTTTTTTTTTGACCATTTCTGAAAACTTCAGTCTGATTCAGAGTACAAACAATGCTGGTAGCAATACCACTCTGTAAATACCTCAGAGCCTGAAAATATTGCTTTTTTCAGACTACAAAACCCAGAATCCCCCAGCCAGCATGGGAGATTCTGGGAATTGTAATCCGAGAGAAACAAAGGTTCTAAACTGTCATATTTCTTTGCGATATTGTAAAATGTTGCCCTATGATTTGAATCAGGAATAGAAACAAAGCAGTTGTTTGATAATTTTCTCGGTGCAGGTTTCTCCTGGTGGGAAAGCAAGGAAAATTCCTTGAATTGCCTCTTCTCCAAGCTTCTCACATAGTTATTAGGATCGGCAGGCGTGCCCCTGGACATTACGTATCCCTCCACCCAGGGAGAGACAAACCAAATGCTACGGGCAGATCTGTGATCAGAGATAGACAAGCAAGCTTTGGTTCTCAGATGCTCTGAAATATACTGTGCAATCCACCACAATCCATAGGATTCAGAACTAGAGATGGGCACAAACTCAGTTTGTCCCAATTTGTCCCAGTTCGTCAAGGTAGCAGCCACCTCTTCTGGCTCAATCAGCCCCTCGCCAGGTCCAGTGTGAGAGCTTCCTGCCCCTCTTCGGCTGATCTCCCGTCCCGGCAAGAGCTCAGGCTTCTCTGCCCCGCCCTCTTGGCTGATCTCCCAATCAGAGAAAAGGGCGGGGCTGAGAAGTCTGGGCTCTTGCTCGTGACTGGGAGATCAGCCGAGGAGGGGGGAAAAACAAGCCATCTGGGCCTGGCGAGTGGCTGATGGGCTGAGGAGGCAGGGGATGAACTGGGATGAAGTGGGATGGACTGGTTCATGCCCATCTCTATTCTGAACCTGAGGAACAGGAGTTACATCTGAATGGGTTGCCATGCACAACTTGTAAAAAAAAACAACCCAAAGAAATCTTTCTCATTTTCTTGCTGGCAGGAAGCCTCCATCCTAGCATGACTTCTGCACTGTGTTTGGGTGTCTGGAGCAGAGCTATCCTCCAAGGTGTGCAGGACCGGGAATTCGGGGAATGGTCATCCAAAACAGGTCAACTGACCCACCTCAAATCTGGAGCCTCTGGGACAGGGAGGATTCCCGAAGGAGCTTGGCACCATCCTCTTTCCACTCACCAAAGATATTGTTCCCACGCGGCGTGCTGCCTCCGAAGGTGAAAACGTGCGAGTGGTCGGCTGTGACCACCGTCAGGGTCTCTGAGGCACGGGTCAGCTCCGTGGCCTTCTCCACGGCCCGATCCATCATCACCGCTTCGGAGAGGGCTTGTTTGGCTTTGCCGTTGTGGTGGCCGTGGTCGATCCGACCTCGTGGAGGAAAGAAAGTCGAGAGATGCAGAGAGGTAAGGCCCCTTTTGTGCACAGCCACATGATGGTGTGGCATAGCGATTATGTTGTTGGACTAGACACATGGGAGTCTCGGTCCCTACTGAGCCTCAGCGCTTGCTGGGGAACCTTTGTCCTGTCATTCTTACGCAGCTTGAACTATCTCAGGTGGGGAAAATGTGCACACACATTTACCCGTATTTTTCACTCCATCAGACGCACCAATTTTTTAGGAGAAGAAAACAGGAAAATATAATCTCTTTTCTTCGCTCCATAAGACGCACAGACTTTCCACCCCCCCTGTTTTGTGGGGGAAACTTGTGTCTTATGGTGCGAAAAATACGGTAAGTTCCCTGGGACTTTGTGTTGTTACGTGATGCCAGGTTGCTTCTGGTTTAGAGAGATCCTAAGAGGGTTTTTCAAAGTATCTGAGAGATCCAGGGAATGGTTTACAATTTCCACCACCTCCACGCTTTCCATGGCTGAGCCAGCATTTGAACTTGGGTCTGACACTCTGACACTCTATCCGCTCCACCACACTCGCTCTTGGAGGAAAGATGGTGAACTGCCTCTGCAACCAACATGCTCATTATTTTTAATGACAACAATAGCAAGGACGACATCTTGGTGACCCCCCCAGCTGAAGAGGTGAGCCTGTCTTGTAGTATTTCAAACTGCAGGTTAGGAGATCTTTAACTAGCCATTTTGGCACCCAGGGCAAACAGCCCCATCTTTCCTCTAGTGGGCCCTGAAGCATGGATGTGAGTCACCCCAGGAAAGTGGAGGAGGATGAGAAAGTGTTATCCATCCCCCAAAGAAAGAGAAACTGTATGCTTTTGAAGAGAAAAGAAAAAAAGAGAAAGATAAGGCAATGTTGTTGTTTATTTTCTGCTCACCTATAGATTCACCTCCAAATTCCAAAGCCTCTAAATTCTGGTGTCTTGGGGTAAAGCCCTGCTTCCTTTTCTCTAATTCTAGCCCTGCCTAGGATTGCTTTATATGATTGAAACGGTCCTCAAGACAAGAAAGCCCCATCCACTTAGAAGTCTAGCATCTCAAGGGGTACGGTTCTAACCTAGCCCTTTTCCTGAGGTGTTAGATTTCTAAATGCATAGAATAAATTACATAGCTGGGAGGGGGGACCATGTTCTGCTACGTGTGTCTGTAGTAGCACAGCCCAGGTACACGCTTAATGTTTCAAGGAGAAAGAAGCTTAAGACAAAATACCGGGTCTAGGGTTCCCTCACAGGAGCATCTTCCATAGAAGATAAGGGTCCTCCCTGTCGTGCTTTGTGCCCTCGTCATTTCTCATCCCAGGGCAAAGAGGAAGGTGAGCCTTCTTGTATGTCAAAGCATGAGGATGATACTTATCTTCCACAAAGAGGAAGAAGCCTCTGGGGTTCCTACGGAGAATTCGGATGGCCTTCTCGGTCATCTCCACAATAGAGGGATCCGTCTCATTGTTACGGTCCAGCTCGTACGTCATGTCCTTTGGCGCAAAGAGGCCTGAACGATTTTGAAAAAGACAAAGTCAGGGGCTTGGCAGGAGAGGCTTAAAGGAGACTAAGAGACCCTTATGATCCCTGCTTCAGCAAAAATGATGACAAAGGTGGTGGTGGGGTTAAAGATGACCAGTTTTATTTGGGATAAACTTGCGTGGACCGCAGGCTCTGTCATCAGACGCTTGTGCAGAAGCGAACGGCAGTCCACGAAAGCTGAGCCCAAATGAATCTCAGTCATCTTTAAAGGGGTCAAAAGACTGTGTTGCAACAGGCAACAGGCAAATATAGCCACTCCCCTGGAAATTATTATCCTTATCATCATCACAGCTTGGAAAAGTCTGGGGCAATGACTGAAGTGCTGACATAACTTCTTACTTTAAGATGTGTGACCTGTTAATGCTGGTCTCCGTCTGGGAAACAGGTAAAAATGTCCCCTTATCACTCTCATAATAATGTTTTTCAAATTAATCACTGGTTCTTATTTTATGACAAACCATAGGGCATTAAGTACTAACAGTGGAAAAGTGATCATGTTCCAAGAACTCCAGAAAACACAGCACGGCATCCTTACATTTCGCTGCAAGACGTCCAAAATGGCATTTTATAGAGAAATGCAACCTAGAGCGTCATTGCAGACCCAGATTTCGCTCTTTGGTGTCTTTGTTCAAAAGAAGCAGAGAGTTTATAAAAACTAGCCCGGGCCAAAAGGGGTGAGGAGCCGGAGGAGAACTTGTAGATCAGCGTTGTCACCAAGAAGTGAGACTGTTATCAGGACAGGGAACTGGTTTGGTCTCCCACCCCTCAAAAAGGAAAGGAAAAAGGAAGGAAGGAAGGAAGGAAGGAAGGAAGGAAGGAAGGAAGGA